CAAGGTAAACCCTCCTCCCTGAGCCGCCCCGAGAGGGCGGGCGTGCCCCTCCGGACAAGACGGGAAGGGGTGCGGGCCTCCACAGAGGGGCGCCCTTTGCTGGCAGCTGTGGGGGTGGGCGGGGTTGGGGTGGCGGCCGGAGGGGAGGCCCGCAGGGCTGGGAGGCCTGACTCGGGTGCAGCTGGACGTGCGCTTTGGGCAGGCAGGTGGCCGGCAGAGCCCCGGGCCGGTCAGGGTTTTTTTTTTCGGGTCTGGCTGGGCCCTGGGGCGCTGCCCCAGTGGCCGGCTTGCCCCGCCCTGCCCTCCACACTCCCCGGACAGCCGTCCCTCACATTTCAGGCCTGGCCCCCCACCTCATAGCACAGCCACAACGCCCACTAGAAAGCGAGACCATCTACGGCAGCTCCAGACACCCGCTTCCCGGGGACTTGAGCTCGAGGTGGACCTCCCCGTGACTCCCCTGTGTGTGACGAGCTTTCCCCGTTTGTCCCTCGCCTCCTCTCGAACCCGTACCCGTAGGTGGCCTATCTTACAGGGAGGAAACTGAGGCTCAGGAGGCCTAGGGACTTGGGAGGGGTGGGGCTCGTGACTCTGGGCCCCCTCCCGGCTCACCCCGCACCAGCTTTTCCCTGGGTCTGAAGGGTCCCGGGTGCGGGGTGGGCAGGCCAGCCCAGTGGTCGCCTCCGTGTGGCAGGCACGGTGGGGTGAGCTTGCCCGAAGGCCCGGCTGCGAAGCTCCAGAAGGCAGCGGGCAGGACCGGAGGCCTGTCCCTTGTGTTTGGGGGGACCCCCATGCACGGCCCGCGGGCCCCCGTGGCACCACGCGCCCTGTGCTCACTCGCATGAGGGCAGCTGTGTGGCCGGGGCTGTGCGCTCCTCCTGCGATTCCGGACGCCCCGTGGGCGGCATGGCCCGCGGCCCTCGGTTCTGGACCCGCTGGCTCCGTCCCGCGCTCTGGGATCAGCCTGCCCCCCACAGGCAGCTCCCCCGTGGTGTGCCACGTCACCGTCACTGCTGGCTGGGGGATCCCGTTGCCCTTGCATATTTTTAAAATCTGACACTGTTTGTAATAAATTCTTAGACTGGAAATAAAATTTTCTTTTCTTACCATCTTGTTTTTTTCCGTTTGGCCAGCCCTGTCCACCCCCTGCCCTGGCCCTCCCGGTGGGGCCCCTGACCAACCTGTGTGAGGCTATGCCCAGCTAGGGGGCCTCTGGCCCGACGTGTGGACATTGAGTAGCGACCTCAGACGCCCCATGTGGCCCTGTGTGTGTGTTTTCACGTGTGTTATGGGTGCACGTGCATGTTTGCATGTGTGTTGTGCATGGCGTGTCTACACAGATATGTGGTGTGTAACGTGTGCAGTGCATGCGTGCACGTGCTGTGTTCATGTGTGTACACATGTGTGTGCATGTTCACATGCATGGTCTGTGTGGCCCATATGCCACAGCAAGATCCTCAGTAGTCCCTGGGGCTCAGGCAGGTGGCTGCCCATGTCTGAGTGAGGTGGACACCCTGCTTTCTGGGCCACGGAGTGTGCTGGTACCGTGCCTGGAGACCCCCACACCCATCCCCCGTGTGGCATGCCCATTTTCACACCACTCACCCCTGTGGGGCCACTCTGCAGCGGCCCCAGGGGGTGGGTCCCGCAGTGATGCAGGCGGGGAAAGGCAGGTTTGGGGGCTGAGCTGGGGCCCTGCCTGCGGGCTGGGTGGCTCCAGGCAAGTCACTACACCTGTCTGAGCCTCAGTTTCCTCTTCTGTAGATGGGACACAGTCCCTACCTCCCTGGGCACATGTGTGAGTGCTCCACAGAGGCCTGTAAGGAGCCGTCATCACACACGGTGCCATTGTCCCTCCCCAGGGCCACCTGGGGGGTGAGGCAGGAGGGCCGCCGGTGTGGGGACCGGGCAAGGCGGGAGCTGGGGGCTGGGGGCCGGCCGGTTGGCGTGAAGCCCTCACCCAGAGGAGGGAGGGGTCCTTCCTGGGAGGGGCCACGGACCGTGGTGGCCCTTAGGGACTGTTGGGCGCTGTGGTGCCTCCCGTGCTGGGTGAGCCAGGAGGGGGGCCTGGCCCCTCAGAGTGAGTGTGCCTCAGGCTCCCCTTGGATCCCAGGGTGGTCTGGGGGTGGGGGTGGGGACAGGGGGCCTCGGCGGAGCCAAGCGGGGCCACCAGGACAGTCTTTCGCCCTGGGGACGCCATAGGGGGTCCTTCCTGTCACCCATTCTCTTTCCAGTGTGCCCAGGCCTCACTCCTGGCCGGAGATGCCCGGAGGGGCTCCTGTCTGCTGCCGGCTTTGCTGCCTCTCCGGGCGGGGCGGGCAGTGTGGGGCACTTGCCAGGGGCCCTGGGCCTTCCTTCCGAGTGGCAGGCTGGGGGCAACCGTGGGGGGTGGTGCAGACGCTGGCCAGGGGTCCCCCTTGCTTCCTGGGGCCACGAGGCCCAAGGTCAGGCCAGGCCCGTGCCAGGTGCCGGGTGCCAGGTCCTGACTCTGGCCACACCTTCGCCCGCCTGGCGAATGGGTAGGGCTCCTGCGCCCCATTCCAGCCCACGGCCCCTCAAGGCCCCACTGCTGGTGAGGCCGGACCCTTTGCGGTCGGTCAGCTGCCCCTGCTGCTGGCAGGGCCCGTCTTCCACGGGGTTTGGGAGACCGGGCCCCGAGGTGGTGCGTGTGCAGTCATGGGCCACCGCCCTTCCCTCCCATCTGCTGGCGGCCACGTTCCCCGCTCTGAGGCCACTGAGGCTCCCTCCTCCTCTGGCTCTGTCACACCTCTGACCAGGTAGCTGGAAGAGGCTGTTGCGGTCTGGAGCCCTGACTCGTCTCCTGGGGCCCCAGGCCAGGGGTGCATCTCCCAGAAGTAGGCGATGGAGGCGGGGCCGCGAGCCAATCAAACTACTCACAGGACTGGGGGGCCGTTTGGCCCGGCCCGAGTTGCCGACAGGGCCCACGGGAAGGCCCAGGGTGCGGGGTGAGGGCCCCGGCAGACGAGGAGTTGGCGCCCCAGGCTGGTTGGCCCTGTAGGTGGCCCAGCCCCCCATCGTGTCGCATCTCCCAGAAGTAGGCGATGGAGGCGGGGCCGCGAGCCAATCAAACTACTCACAGGACTGGGGGGCCGTTTGGCCCGGCCCGAGTTGCTGACAGGGCCCACGGGAAGGCCCAGGGTGCGGGGTGAGGGCCCCGGCAGACGAGGAGTTGGCGCCCCAGGCTGGTTGGCCCTGTAGGTGGCCCAGCCCCCCGTCGTGTGTCACTCGTCCTTGGGGTTGGCGCCCTGGTTTGTGGGAGCCTGCTGGACAGACTGACACGGACTCTCTCTGGTTTAGGGAGCGGCAGCCGCGCCCCCTGGGCTCCCCGTGCATCCAGGTAGGCCGGGCTCTGGAACCAGCTCTTACACGTGGGACGAGGGAGGAGAGCACCATGGTGGCTGCAGTGACAGCCCAGCCAGAAAGCGTCCAGACAGGGCGATGTGTGGCAGTGGACGGCAGCAGATGGCACTGGGGAGTGGACAACGGGGACGGCAGGGCAGTAGCGTGCAACTGAGAGGAGGCCCGGCTGGGCGGATGGGGCGGCTGGGCACGGCCAGGCCACCCAGGGGTGCCGAGGCCTGCCAGGCACGGACACTGGGGGGAAAGGGGAGTGGACAGGAGCCCTGGTCAGGGGGCGCCGAGGACCATCCATCCCGACAGCAGGAGGCCACAGGCAGTCCTCCCAGGTGGCCCTGGCGGTGTCCCAAGGACATCATCCCCAGGCAAGGGAGGGGAAAGGGAGTCCCTTTGGCTCCTTACGCTCTGAAGTGGCGGTGGCCCCGTCCCCCGTGGGAGGAGCAGGTGGGAGGCTGCTGGACAGGGCTGGGCAGGGCCTTGACCCTGCTCTCCTGTACCGGGGCCCCTCCCCCAGCCAGTGTGGAAGAGGGGGGTCAGTGCACATCTGGTGGCTCGCCCTGGGGATCCTACCCTGAACCGCACTGGAGCAGTCTCTTGGGCAGGGGGGTGGGGAGGGAGAGAACTTGAAGTGCCTGGAGTCATGACAGAGATGTCACCAGACGTGTGGGCCTGTGCTCAGGGGAGGGATCCGCTGCGGGGACCCACCAGGCCAGCGGTCCCTGAAGCCTGGAGTAGGCAGGGAGATCTGGGAGCTGGGGGGAGGGCAGGGCGTTGGGGGCCTGAGGAGGAGGACAGGACGGACGGATGGGGGATGAGGGTTGAGGGTGGGCGGCAGCGGGTGAGGATAGAGGAGTGTGATCCCTGGGCCCCAGTGGGCCGGTGGGCAGCTGAGCAGCTGTCAGCCCGTCACAGCAGACAGAGGTGGGGACACCCTTTCCAGAAGCTCAGTGGTGACGGGGAAAGACAGGTATCTGGGTCAGGGAGGGGTGGGGTGGTGTCCCAGGGCGAGGGGACGTGTGGGGCACAGTGGGCGGTGGGGGGGCTCTCTGCCAGCCTTGGAGGTCAGCTCAGGCCACGGCCACCCTGGGGGTGCACAGTCCCCCTCCCTGCAGGAGCACCGGGGCCGGAGGGGCCGAGCAGCGAGGCGCCCGCCTACGTGAACATCCCCGCCAGCCCCTCCTCCAAGAAGCAGCTGCACTACCTGGGCCTGGAGCTCGGGGAGGCTGGCGCGGGGGTCCGAGGTGTGTTCCCACCCAAGTTGACAGGACGGGGGGCCGCGGGGGGCCTTGACTTTCCTTGGCCAGCTGTTCTTCCTCCCAGTCACCCTGTCCTTCCTAATGCTGGGCTGTGTCCTCAGAGCTTCCTCTTAGGTCCTACTAAGTGGACAATGTGGGTGGAGCCCCCCGGCCAGACACCCTGTCCTGGCTGAGGCCTCTGCTGGAGGCAAGGGGCTCTGCGGGGTGGCTCGGGGCTGCTGTCACTTGGCTGGCTCACCTGGGGCTGCTTCCAGGGGCTGGAACCTCCCGCTACGCACAGATTGACCTCGCGGCCACAGCAGCAGCCCACAGGGCGGGGGCTCAGCACGCACAGGCCCGTGAGGAGCGGCTGGCCGAGCTGGAGCCCAAGAAGAAGGGGACCCTGCGCTGAGGCCCTCCTGGCCGGGCAGCGGTGACGGCGAGCTCGAGGGAGGTGGACCTCCCGGCGGTCATCTAAGCTGCACCCCGAGGTCTGGGCTCCGGGGTCACGGCCTGCTGCCTGCAGTGTGGTGTGGCTGGTCCCCGAACCCTCCCTGCCTGACCCACGGCGGGAGCTGCCCTGCTCTGGGCCTTCACAAGTCCCTCTGGGCCTCAGGCAGGAGGCATCTCGGCTGCAGGCGGCCTTGGGACATACACGGCCCTCCCTTCCCTGAGGTGGCAGCCACCCAATCGATGACAGCAAAACACAGGCCTCCAAACCGCTGCCAGCTGGGCCAGGCCTCCCGTGTGCCGAGCATCCCGCAGCCGTCGCCCCTGGTGGGGCACCGCCAGCCAAGGTGATGCGGGGGGCTGTCCTGTCCCGCCCTGCAGGTGGCCAGCGTGACCTGACGCTGCTCATCGCATCCCTTCTTGGGACCCATTCAGTTAGTCAAGTGAATAATTTAAAATTGTTAACCTTCTATTTTTAACAACGCTCATTATTTTCCTGAAGGACGAGATGAGCTTTCTTGTGCTGGGCTGCGGCCCCTGGACACGGCTCGGTCATTGTGACATGGGAAGGGGTCCGGGGCCAGGATCGGCCCGTCCTTGGGGTCTGGGTGGGGGTTTCCATGTGCTTCTTCTGGCTGGTGCCTGTGGCTCTAGGGAGGACTCAGTGAGCTGGCGTGGAAGTGTGGTCCTAGCCCCGCTGGCCACGGGGTCTGGATGCTGGGCTCTCTGCCATCTCCCCGTAGGCCGGGGGCCCCGAAATGGGTCCTCCCACCCTGGTCTCAGAGGTGAGATGGGGTCCTCTCTGCTCCAGCCACGGCCCACTCAGACCCATCCCTTCCTTCCTCCCTGTCATCCATCATCCATCATCCGTCAGCCACCCATCCCCTCTCCCACCCAGGACGCCGCGAGTCTGTGGGAGCCTGTCCCTGGGGAGCGCCAGTGGCCAACTGTCCATGCGCCGTCCCGAGCTGGGTCCCTCGGGCTGGTGGCTGCAGAACACCGGCCTCCCCTGCCCTGCCCACTCCGAGCCGACACCTGCCGGCTGCGGGGCTGGTGAGTGGAAAGCAAAGGAACCAGGCTCAGCCCCTCGCCCGGGGGGCGACGTCCATCCGGGACGGGGTCCTATGGTAGCAGGACTGCCCCGGGAAGCTGCAAGTGGGGGTGGGGGGAGCATGGCCAGCTCATCCCCGTCTAGGGCTGCAGCGGGCAGCGTCCCTCTAGGTGGGAGGCTCGTACTCCACACCCCTGCGCAGGCCGCACGCACTGGCTGAGTAACGGACAGGCGAGCAGGGGTCCTGGGCCCGACCGGCGACCGTGAGCGGTCGGCATCTGGGGTCTCCACTGTGATGCAAACACAGGGTCAAGGACGTGGGAGACATCAGGAAGGGCTGGCCACGCCCCGTCTGCAGGTGTTCCCTGTGGACGCACCCGCCTGGAGACCTGTGGGCATGGGGCAGGGCTATGCAAAGCAGAGTCCCCTTGGTCCCCTCTGGCCTGGCCAAGGGTACCACGTGAGGACAGCTGGGGAACATGTGCTTGGCAGGCCGCGAAGGGGGCCAAGCATCTGCGCCCCACTGTGGCACTGTGGGGCCCGGCGCCATGGAGGGTCCATGGGAGGGCGGACGCTGGCCAAGGCTGAGGGCAAGAGGGTTTTGCCCTGATGCACGGGGGAAGCTCTCCAGCACAGGAGAGCCGGGGCGCGGCAGCTGGCGTAGCCACACAGGGCCGAGTGGGGATCGGACAAGTGGCCGC